CTGGCACCAGACACCTCCTATAATGCTGTAGATCTACACTCCTCAAGTGATCATCTTGAGAATACATCAGTGGGTGTTATCATGTTTTCAGCTAAGTTGCCTCAGGTGCAAAACGTGAATGTGGTGTCCATGCTGGCACATCTTGCTCAGATATGTTTAATTTGATTCATTGGTTTGTTCTCTGCTTGCATTTCAATGAGTTGTTGCCAAAAGGATCTCTTCTTGCAGTTAGACTGTTTAGTCATGCCCTTCCTCTTCTCGTAAACTGCTCTCCTTCTAACTCTGCCCATTCTTCTCTCCTCCAGTCTGCGAGAGGTTGTGCAGGACCAGTCTGTGAAGCCCAAACTCCAGTGCCTTATGGTGGATCCGTCGTTCTCCATGGTAACTGTTCAAAGTGAGGATAGTGGCATTGTTTGGGAGACGGCCTCTAGCCGCTGCTCTACCCCTTGGGCCTCTGAGACCAGCTCCACCTCTGAATCCTACAGCATGGAGGGCCCTGGAGCGGCAGGAAAGATCACCATCGTCTTTGATGAGGAGAAAATAGTCCGCAGGAGGATAAGGTCTGGAGGAAGGAGTAGCAGACTGGGGGACAGGCTGAGCCGACCTGGTAGTTCAAGATCGGCTTCAGCTCTGGGAGCGGAGAGACCGGAGATGGCGGAGGTTTCCCTTCCCAATGTCAAACAGGAGAAAATCGAAACAGAACCGGACTTGGAGGAAATCAAAAACAAAGATCAGCAGCTGTTTAGTTTGATTTCAGAGGGTTATGAGATTCTCAATATCAGAGTCCCCTCCAAACTTCCCACTGTGGATGAGGAGGAGAGCACAGAGCTGCAGGACAATTTGTCTTATTTGGACGAGACTCCAAAGATCAGGTCTCGGCAACAGTATCATGTTATGCCAGAGGAAGGGGTAATACTTGTTCACCAAGAGGTATGTACTGATTTCTCTGATTGATTTGAGTCGTTTTAATAATGAAGTACTTTAATATTTCTTCACACCTTCTAACACCATTTTGGGTTAATTCTACCATTAACATGAAATCAACATTTTAATATGTCTAGTAAAATGCTGTTTTAAAACACTAAATTGGCCTCTATAGATTGACTCGCTGATTGTGATCTTTCCTCAGCACTCAGAGCAAGACTATTCTCAGCCGTCAGTTGAAACAGAGCTCAGACACACACCCACTCAGAAAGAGAGCACCATCGACATAGACTACTTTGAAAAGTTTACCTTGCTCGATGAGGTGGTCCCTGGGGAACAAGCTCCAGAACTGCAGGAGGCGGCAGATCAGCCTACAGCAAAGCCCCCAGTAGAGGATCAAAAGCCAGCTAAAGAGACAGCCACAGACAGCCCCTCTGCATCAGAAGACTCCTTTGTCTTTGTTACAGATGTGGAGATAGCCGGGGAACACCTAGATGAGGTCTTCTACGGAGAAGCACCTCCTGCTGATGCACTGCAGCGGAGAGATGATGATGAGGTGGAGGGTAGAGCAGGGATGAGAATGAGACGAGAGAGCCAGAGATCTGGTAAGGAGAGTGGTTCAGTGTTGTTTGGGAGTGAAGAGACCATCCTCACGCCCATCTTTATCTCCTCTGGACCCCCTAAGATCATTGACCTCATCCTGCTGGAGGAGCCCACCGCCATGTCCTTCATGTACTCAGACCTTTATGAGGATGCTGTAGGCGAAAGGCAAAAGAGTGATGAGGAATACTCTGAGGCAGAGAGCGTAGCATCGGAGACGTCTTATAAGAGACGTTTGTCAGATTCAGAGGAAGGGCACGGGTACCTGGAGAAGTTTATTTTGAAGGATGAAACTCCCACTGTGGAGGTACAACCAGAGCCAGCGGAGGATGAGATGGAGGGGAGGAGGATGTGGTCACAGAATAAGTTTGAAATGACAGGATGTCTGACAAGAGTGGTCAAAGAAGACGAAGACGAGGACAAGATAAAGACAGAGGAACCAAAGACACAGGAGGTCAGTGTTGGAGGTAGGAGTGAAGATTTAAAATCAGCTACATTCAAAGAGAAAAGAGAAATAGTTACAGAACCAGAGAGGGAGAAGGAGGAAATACACATCTCCTTGGTGACTGAGGAACAGGCTGTCGGAGAAGCCTCAGAAGAATCTATTCAGGAGTCCAAACTGAGAAAGGATCAGATGGATGATCAGAAAGTGGAACATGAGGAAAAGAGAGATCAGACTGACTGTCCTGAGAGCGGCACTGATAAACCACTTCCCGAAATGCAACAGGTGGACAGTAAAGTAGAAAAAACAGAGGAGTGTGAGGAGCATCAGAGAGAAGTGCCGGCAGTAACAACTAGCGTTATTGAAACTGAGCAGCCATGTCAGATACAAGAAGCGATTGAAAAAACAGCCCAGGTGGTTGCAAATGCGACAGAAAAGACAGCTGTGATAGCACCTGTAAGCGATGAAGTGCCTCACATCATCCCTCAATCTGAAATACAAACGGAAACCCCTGAGAAGAGTTTGTCTGAGGAGGCACTTACTGACACTAAGATGATGGCTGCTGAAGAGAGAGTAGTAGCTGAGGCCAAAGCAGAGGCACCAGCAGAAGCCAAAGAACCTGAGACTAAAAGACAGGAAATGCTCACCTCTACTGCAATAGATACATCAGCTGAAACATCGCTATGTGAGGATAAAGAAGCAGCAGCAGTTGTTTCTGAAGACGTTGCTCCTGTTGAGGTTATCACTGACTGTAGTTCAACAGTACACGCAGTAGTGGAGGTAACTGAAAAAGCAGTGGATGAAAAAAAGATCCAAACTCAGGTTCAGATTGATCTTCAGGAGGTAACAAGTGTTGTGACAACAGATGTTCAAACAGCAGCTCCTGAAGGAGAAGAAGAACGTGAGGCTCTAACAGAGGATACTGCAGTTCAGAGCCAACATATTACAGAAGCTGATCAGGAGTCAGAGGTTAAAACGGAGATTTCAAGTGAAGTATGCAAACCTGTGACAGACTCGGATACGAAACAGCATGACATTCTTGAGACCAAGCAGCATCAACAAGAGTCAGTAACTGACTGCGATTCAGACAAAACAAAGCTGATAACTGAAGCTGAAGCTAAAACATCCACAGAGGACACTGAGACTGTTATTCAGGAGATGGTGAATGTAGATGATGACTTAATCCTCCTTATCCCGAAAGGGCAAGCTGTAGAGATGGACATAGGGATTAGTCAGTGGTCAGAGAAGACTACAAATTATACAGTAGCTCTCTCTGAACCTGACAGCACATGTGAACGTCTCATAGCACCTGAAACCACCACCATATGCTCAGAGGAGCTTCAGGCACCAACTGAGGAAACAGTGACAGAGCCTCAACTAGAAATAAAACCAGAAGTTGTTCTAAAGGAAGAAGCACTACCCAGTAATGAGTTAGCCAGTAAGTACTCTCCTCCTTTACCTGTGGAGGAGGCCAACACAGAGGAGCAGAAGGTGGAGCAGGACTTCGAGGAAGACGTGGCCATCTTTTCCCCTCTGAGGAGCTTGACTCCCCCGGAGGATTTGTGTTGTCTGCACAGAGACTATACAACATCAGAAGCAGCAGACTTAGAAAAAAGGGTAAAGATGCACAAGATGAAAGTGACCCCCGTATCAGAAGCAGTTGCGGAGGCTCCAGAGGTGACTGTTGAGGAGCTTGAATATGAGGTAATATCTAAACAGGATGCAAAAGAAATGCCGGAACCTGAAACACAAAGAGGTGAAGAGGAACCAGTGGATGAAAATGAGATCCAAACTCAGGTTCAGATTTATCTTCAGGAGGTAACAAGTGTTGTGACAACAGATGTTCAAACAGCAGCTCCTGAAGGAGAAGAAGAACGTGAGGCTCTAACAGAGGATACGGCAGTTCAGAGCCAACATATTACAGAAGCTGATCAGGAGTCAGAGGTTAAAATGGAGATTTCAAGTGAAGTATGCGAACCTGTGATGCCAGAAGAAGTCAAGACAGACTCAGATAAAAAACAGCATGACATTCTTGAGACCAAGCAGCATCAACAAGAGGAATCAGTAGCTGAGGTGCTTGAATATGAGGTAATATCTAAACAGGATGCAAAAGAGATGCCGGAGCCTGAAACACAAAGAGGTGAAGAGGAACCAAAACCTGAGTCTGGTCAGCAGAGAGAAGAAAGGATGGAGATGGAGATGGAGAAGGAGAACAAAGTATTTGATCTGTCCCCAGAAGAAGAGCTCATTGAGGCTGACTATGAAATCTTTGATGAAGAGGAGGAGAGTCAGGCACGACTGGCTGCTGAGCTGGAGGGGATGGACTGGTTCTGTCTCACTTGTGGATGTCTGCTGTCAAAGGACGACTGTGTCTCTGGAGAGCATCACAGCCATGAGGTGACTGGTGTGGACAAAGCCTACGAGGAAATCAAGGTAATATACTATGTGAATGCAAACATGTTGTCTATATACACATTAATTTTTAACCCCAATGTTTGGGGTCTGTTTCAGTAACAGTAACAGCTGTAAAAGCTGCATTAAATACAATGGATTTTCATCTGCTCTATCTCTGATTGGTGTTGATAGTCTGTTTGGATTTCTGTTATTGGAGTTTTTTAACAGACCTTTCAGTCGTTTAATTGACCCCATACATAATTAATGTCACTAAGTAGAATAACTGCACATTTGTTTGTGAATGTTTAATAAGTAGGTAGGTAGGTAGAGTAATTTTGTCACAATATAACAGGTTATAGAGGGAAATTGAGTTTGTAACTCCCATCTGCTACATAGCAGACACTATACATTAATATAGAAGCAATTATAAAAATGGTAAACAGAAATAAACTATATACAATGGAGCAGTGCTTAGGATTAATTTGAGCTTAAGAGTCTGATAGCTTTGGGGGGAAAAGCTGCTCTGCAATCTGGTGGTGTGGCAGCAGAAACTTCTGTATCTCTTCCCAGGAGGCAGCAGGGTGAACAGGCTGTGGCTGGGGTGGGTACTGTCCTTTAGTATCCTTTGGGCTCTGCGTAGGTAACCTCACCTCCACCACTGATATCACTGATGCTCGGGAGATGGGTACCAATTATCTTCTGAGCGGTTTTAATCACCCAGAGCCCTCCGGTCCTGGGCCGTGCACATCCCATGCCAGTCTGTGATATTTCCAGTCATGATACTTTCTATTGCTCCTCTGTAAAAGCTGACAAGAACTTGGCACAGGAATTTCGCCTTCTTAAGCTTCCTCAAGAAATACAGGTATTTTTGAGCTTTCTTCACCATCGTGGAAAAGTGCTAGATCTAGCTAAAACTAATGTAGTATAAAATATAAATATATATAAATAAATATCTAAAAAGTCCTGCAATAAATCCTACCTATATGAAGATTATAATGTTCAGTTTTTGTTCAAACTGTTTTAGAGAGGTGTTGATTCAACTGTATGGTAACTTTGGAGGACATTGAAGTAGACCCTTTATTGACTGTACTTTTTACATAGTGTTGTGCAAGAAGTACTGTTAAATAAGTTAATGTGCCACAATCACTACATGACATTAACAAATGATGTGCAAATGAAAACAATACAAGTATAGTAAAGTAAAGCTTGGCACAGCATCAGTAAAATTATTAATGAATATTACACAGTGGACATGCAGGGTGTAGCAAAATGTTAAAAATAGATTTAAAGGAGTAGTTCTACATTTTGAGAGTTACTCTTATCTTCTGTCTTTTTGGGCGCAAATAAGCATATTTCCCAAAATGCTTAATTATTCCTTTTTAGAGGAAATAACATGTTTTTTTTTCTTTTTGTTCTCTCTGTAGCCTCAGAGACTTCACAGTGTCTCGCATATGTTTGATCATTTTAGTGGGCTGCAGTCCTCATGTCTGATGGTATGCTCAACTCAAATAGCAGCTCATCATTATACACTTTACCCGCATTATTACAACACATGGTTATGATCATCACACATTTTACTGGCATTAGTTTGGGTCATCATATAATAAACTGGTCCTAAATTAGTCGGCTATAGATTTTCCATTCATGCTGGCAGGTTGCATGCTCTCAGGCTGCTGGCAGGCTTCGGCCAAGCACATTAAATTGTTGTGATGTAATGATCTGCTTTGATCAGTGGAAAGGTTTAGTGTGACATCATCAAGTGGAGACTGATATGTGATCTGTTCGATCTCGCTGTCCCAGTGGGTCAGCACCGGGTCAGCTGTCTGCCTTTTAAAATTTTTATTAGTTGTATTATTATCAGTATTATTGTTGTTTTCTTTTACCTTCAGTTTTCCAAAAGCCATTCGTCCATCCTGTTCAAATATAAAATATTTAGAGAAAAGTCCTCATTCTGCTATAAGACACTCAATTCACTGTGAGAGACAATATTCAGTTGTTTGTCTTTAAGCTCTGAGGATACATTGTACAACATGAGTGAAGTGAGATATTTCACCTTGAGAAACAGTCACAGTAAAGTATCTGGCATCTAAATCGAAGGAAAGCTGGAACAAACTAAGGAGGATCAAATGTCATTTCCAGATGATATTTGAACCAGGTCCTGTGAATGTGTGATGTTGTATTTTTGTGAAACATTGACAGCTGGACTGTAAATAAGACAAAGATCAAAGCTATAATGCAAGTCTGACTTCAGCACCAAGAAGTGCAGTCTATTCAGATACTCTAGAGAGGAAAATCGATCCTGACAAGTTAACAAAACTACTTGGCAAAACTGTATCCAGTCCAATTCTCTTGAATGTGCAATGTGCTCCTGCACTTCTTCAGACATGGATGTGTGCAAGTATGCTGGCACATTCTTCCTCACACACACACACACACACACACACACACACACACACACACACACACACACACACACACACACACACACACACACACACACACACACACACACACACCCACACCTTGAACTAGTTAAATGTGAGCTGTCAGTGTTCAGGTGGTGACAGGGGACTGCCACAGTTCTTCCTCCTGGAATATTCTCCCTGATAATTCCCCTTAAAGTTGCATGAGGCTTTTACCTAAAGATTAACCTTTCTTGTCAGTCTAAATAATAACAACAGTTATGAACATCTATCTCCCGTTAACTGGGACCACACAGATCCATATCAGATTGCCTTAGTAAAATTCATGTTTAAGATATTGCCACTGGTGGGAATATCCTAGCACGTGATGAATTGAGGCTTTATAGAAGGAGAAGAACACAATTCAAAGAAAGGGAGTTAGAAAGTTTGATTCACTGACATGATTAAATGTGTAGCAGACATGTCTGTTTTCTATTAGCAAAGAACAAGAAAGTGCATTTTACTGATATAATATTACACTAGTCCTTAAAATACAAATTCATTACAAACATTTCTGCATTGTTTGTACCTAATCAGAGTCATATCATATCCACAATGTTGTAATGATCATTTTTTGCTCAAAGAATAATTTTTATTTTTTTTTTCCAAGTCTGTCTTAAAACAATACTCACATGCTCATACTGTATGTACATTTCAGTATGTACATTTCAGGAGTTACTCTTTACCATAACTGTTCCTCCTTTCTATAAGGGCCACCAAGAAATTCTTTCTGAACGTGATTTAAATGCATCCACAGTCCTCGTTTTGTGGAAAAATGCATTCGGCTGAAATTAATATGAGGCAACAGCAGTCTGAGTTAGCCTCTCTGTCAGGGGAAACAAAAAGCAGTTATTTTGTACTAAAAGACTCTAAATGTGTGCATGAAAAGAGGACTGTAGATTTTATTATTCTCCATCTCTTCCACTGGACGCATGTTAGGAAGGGAGTGTAGAAATAATTACAACTCTTTGAATATACTGTACATATGGGCATGTGAGTATTCTTTTTAAATCGACTTGTGAACCTACTTTTTAATCCCAATTTCCCGTATCTTGCGGTCAGAGGCGCTGGGAGATAAATGTGATATTTTACTTTCAAGTGTGTTGTTTTATCAGGAGAAGCTGAGTGACTGGATCTCAGAGCTTCAGGGGAGGTCAGAGAACACAGAGGACCTGGTGTCTGAGCTTGAACTGGCCTACAACTCTGTAGAGGTAAAACAAGCTGGCTTTGTTTAATTCACATTTAACACAATAAATAATAAAATGAGACTATACCCCTTTTTTTAATATTTGCCATTAGAGCTGTACACACAAAACATTGTGATTGTATGAAAAGATACCCACCATAAATTTATTTCATTTGTGAATATTTGTGAATATAATATCTGTTTTCCATCCCTCTCCTCTCGACCAGGACCAGTGTGTTGAGATCGAGGCGGCGATGCAGGCGCAGAATGAGGAGATGATGGCTCTGGTAATGGAGCAGTACAACAACATGTCTGTCAGCATGGAAGAGGAGAAGAAGGCCAAGCTGGAGCAGCTATATGACCAGATTGTCTCCTTCCAGGAGAGTATCGACTCTGCCAAGGCCACACTAGAGACCACGGCCAGGGAGGCTGAGACTGAAGCACGGGTGAGTCCTGAGGCTTGTTGATCAAGTGGTATGATGTCCGGCCAATAATCAAGGTTTATATCAAATTTCTGATAAATCCTTCTTCAATTTGTTCTCCTACTAGTCACCCGAAGACATTCATGCAAGGTAATGTGGAATATTTAACTGTAGGGGTATATTCAAGCTCAGAATATAGAAAAGAAGGTTTGTGGTTGTGGCCAAAGGCATAATACTGTGGTTGTGTGATCAGGCTCAAGGCAGCTCTGGACTCTGCCATGTCACTGGAGCTGGGTCCCAAGGGACTGCTGGTGTTCGAGGACTATGCCAAGGGCAACACTTCCAGCTCCCACCTCGCACAGCGCAAGGGAATCCCAGGTAGGTCTCATATAAACATATCTTTAGCTACAAGAAGTCGTGTGTGATTTGTATATATGTGTGCAGTTATGAATCTTGTATGTCTCCTGGTCTGTGCCCCAGTGCCTCAGAGGCCTACGCTGCAGCCTCAGGAGCCAGGCTCAGCCACCAGCACCAGCGTCACTGTTTATTGGAAAGTCAACCCCGGAGATATCATAGACTGCTTCCAGGTGTACTGCATGGAGGATCCTCAAGGAGGTAAAAACTTAAGGGTGGTGTTTAAACTGGACAATTAGTACCAACATTACATTTTGATCACCATCTACTTCAGATAGTAAAGGAATCATTTTAATTGACAATGCAATTAACTCTTAATTAAATGTAAAAAGTGTCCTTTTATTTAAATGTTATGTAGATAAGGTGAGCCAGGTTGAGGTGTGATGAAGAAGTTTCTGAGACTGACGAAGACTTAACATTGCAAGGTTTAACGAGATTCGGCTGAGGAGCTTATCTAAGTTAACCTAAGTCACATTGTGTGTGATTCATGACACATGCAACACTTTCTACACAGAGCCAGCCAGACAGTCTGTCTGTAATGAAACAAAATAAAGATAATCTCGACCTTGGGTTACCCGAAAAAAATGGATAACAGTGGATCATTATCAAGGCAGCTGCGCCAGTCAGTTTACCAAGCAGGCAGAGAGGAGAGACAGAGTCTGACCTACTGTTTTGGAGAATCACTGGTTGTTACCTTTGACTTAGTTTAGCTCAGCATTTGACTCCAACATGACCTGGGAAAGCCTGTGTAATAGTACCCCTAAAATTCCTTCACAATAAATACACATTTTATGGTATATTATCTTGTAGTATTTATAATATGTATATATTTTGTTGATATGAACTCTAAATCCTGTCAACACTTTAGAACTTAGAAGAGATTATTTCTCCAAAGTTTTCTGACAAAATTGTGACTTTCTGAGTTACACCATACAAACAAAATGCTTTGTTGTGGCTGCTGTTGTCCACAGCTGTGTCAGAGGAGTACCGTGTGACAGTGAAGGAAAGTTATTGTGTCCTGGAGGAGCTGGAGCCTGACAAGACCTACAAGGTCTGGGTGATGGCTGTCAACTATACAGGCTGCTCTCTGCCCAGCGAGAGACTCGCCTTCAGAACTGGTCAGTCCACACAGTGGAGCTGAAGTTAAAGCAATATAACAAATTTGTCTGTTAAAACTGGAAAGCATCATTTTAATTTCTACCAGCATTGTGATGGGAGTTAAGATTGGTTTGAATATTCAGTGTTCACCAGTAATTTCTGTTTTTATACAGTATCTACAGATACTGGGGCAGATTTCATACTATTGATATCTTGTTCTCTTTCTGGCAGCTCCATCAGTGCCAGTGATTGATACAGAGCGCTGTACTGTCATGTGGGATTCAGCCACGCTGCGGTGGAGCTCAAAAAAACAGACTCTCGAACAGAGTTACACCTTGGAGTACAGCCACCAGTATGAACTGGAGGGAGAGGGGCTCAGGTGGGTGTTTGTTTTAACCAGATAGGTACTGTAATAGCTGTGTGGGAAAGACAGAAAAGTGCTTTAAAAGTAATTTGAAACAGTTTGTAATTTCTGACACTGACCATATTAGGAAAGCTAGTAAATTTGGTTTAAAACTAACAAATAATAAACTGTACATGTCTCTGATATAGAAATGACATGTACAGACAAAAGACATGACTACACTTCCTGCCCAAACTACCTGGACAAAAACTTCAGTAAAATATTTTTATACACTTATGACACTTCTGGAGGTACTGAGGTTTATTCCTTTCATTTCGTGTGTGTGTGTGGGGGGGACATACTCTAGGTCCATCTCAGGTATCAAACATTGTGAACAGAGGGTTCTCCTGCAGCCCAATGTGAATTATCTCTTCTATATAAAAGCTGTAAATGAAGCTGGAGCCAGCGAACAGAGCGAGGCTGCACTCATTTCCACCAAAGGTAACGAAACACACAATTAAACTCTCTTTGTACTTAGATTTTTTTGTAACAGAAAAGCAGTTTCCTTTACATGTTTTTGTTTTGTAAATTATTTTCTCTTACCTGTTACTGTTGCTTTCAGGGACAAGGTTCCACCTGCTGAAAGCCTCAGCTCACCCCGCTTTGGAGCTGTCAGTTGACCAGACCACCCTGCACTACTCTCAGGATACACACGAAAACACACCATCTACAGACACGCCGTGAGTTTCCATCAGCTCCTTTGGACCCCCTTAAGAAACATTTTAAGGAATATGTGGAAACCAGAGTTTGTTTGTTTTCAAGGTGTCCATCCATCCTGGGTGAGTTGTTGCCGGCACAAGGACATTACTACTGGGAGACCATTGTGTCAGGAAGCACAGCTTACAGGCTTGGAGTGGCATACAGCTCAGCCAATAGAAACAGCTCACTGGGGGAGAACAGCCAGTCATGGTGTTTGCAGTGTGTCCCTACACCATCAGGGTATGCATAAAGTATTTTCCCGTATTCCTTGTATTTCCTATCACGACTTTGGTCTAAACCCACCTTCCTTTGCTCTCTTTGTCTGTCCAGCTGCAGGTATCAATTGCTCCACAATGACGTTTTGTCCAGTGTGTTTGTGATTGAGATGCCTGAGCGAGTGGGAACTCTCCTGGATTACCAACTCGGTTGTCTGTCTTTCTACAATGCCCAAAGCGGTCAGTTGTTAGGCACTTTCTCCCAGCGCTTCACCCAGCCGTGCCAGCCTGCTCTGGCCTTGGAGATGCCGGGCAGCCTGGAGGTCTGCATGGTGCCGGAGAAGCCGGTGTTTATCAAGGACAGCTAGCTCAGCTAAATGCCTCACACACCGAGGAGTTTACAGTTCATGCTGGACATATATTGATTTGAATGATCTGAAAATGACTATTATTGTGAGAAATCTGCAGATCTAACAGGACATACAATATACTGATAGCCACAAAAAAGGCAGGAGACATACTGGCTCCCATTCTTCTAAGAGGCCTCATTAATCGGTTTGTGTGTTTTTAGTGCATCATTGCAAAACAAGGATTCTCTGATTGAATAGGGATTCAATTCAACATTTATATCTTTTGGTAATAGAAATAAAATGGTAAATATCAAAAACAGAGGCAGTGAAAATGAATGATGGCAGTGTGAAATACAACTGGACTGAAATTTAGTGCCTTGAACTTTTTTAACAGGTGAGTGTCGCGAGTATTTTGTTCAACCAAGGGAGACGTGAAATGTAATTTTTACCATAACTTACGCTGATATGATAGTTTTGTACTGTTCTGTAAATGTTCTGATTTACTCATTTTCAGTTTTCTCCTCTTTATCCAAACCCTTACTGACAGCTTCCATGAGTAAAGGGTCTGACTGCACATTGAAGTTAAACACACACTGTGTCATTATTGAGACAAACAGTAGTTAAAAATCCTTTAAGGGAATTTATAGCGCCAAGAAATATACTGTAGAACTTGAACTGTGTTTCATATTGTGAATTTGTGTAAATAACCTTTGTAAACCGATGTGATCAATTCTATATTTTGTTATGTGCAACTCACAGCAAGTGGAGATTAACTGTTTTCCTTTCCCTGTCTTGTAAACTGATTTTCACATCTGAGCTGAATGAACATGTTTATTTTTCTATTTGCACAGCTGGACTGACAGTTTGTTTTGACTGATCTCATTAGCAATCTTTCTAACATACATTCACCACCAGAGGGCCTCAGTACTCTGTTTTTTTTTTTAGGAAATCGCCTGAACTGAGATACACAATATACTCTACTGCAGCGTGTAGTCACGTAAAAGGATCCTGAATACGCTATAACTAAATAGAAATCAAATATATTTCCAGAAATGTAATATAATATACATTCTTATAAACCCTAAAAATGGGTACACTTTGATACACAAATTGTGGGCAAAAATGTGAGTTGAACACGTTTACCCTCTTCTAGAATTGAAAGGGGCATCAGGCCGAAATCAATCAAATGATTTATCGCTATTAATCCTAAAAACCTCTGCTAAATCTAGCATACAGACTTACAGATAGCTTTTTACGATTTACTGCTACTGTAGTTTTGGGAACCAACACCTCGCTGACAAAGCCACATATGGTTCTCCAGAGGACATGTAATTTCCCAATTATTACGTCACTATTTTTCCAGGCACTCGCACCTTTTCCAGTCACACCTTTCCCCATTTGTGAAAAAACAAAGACAGAGGGGGGAGTGAAAGGAAGAAGAGGAGTGTGCCGACCATCAGGGAACAGCTGCTGGCTCCCATGTGTTGTGCTGGACCGCTCAACTGGAACCCGAAGGAAAGTGACAGCCTTATTTTACTGGGACTGACTCTTCTCTGCCTTCCTGCGGTGGATAACACTGGGTGGGGAAGTTGGGAAGATCAGTTTCTGTTACAGTGGAAAGTTAGGAGCCAGTATCACTGCTGCAGACTGGGGACTGTTTTTGTACCTCATCTGAAATTTTCTGCGATTATTACTGGAAAAACAAGTCACCCAAGAAACATCTACATCTTTTAAAGCACAAATTAGGAGGCTCTCATACAATTTTAATCTAGACTCCAGTAGACTGTTTAAAGGCACATTTAGTGAAATTATATTAAGAGGTTAAATTTGCTTGAAAAAAAGACAATGAGCCATGAATGGATTATCATGTTTGTATTTCAAGATCAAGACAGTTGATACCAACCATCCACAGAAAATGAACCACAGTAACATAAACGACAAAGATAATTTATGAAAGTCTTTCAAAATTATGACATTTTGACAACTGTACAAAGACACCAGCAGTCATGAAGGCACACTGTACCCATAAATTCCTCACAAGCCTGTTAGTTGTCCAACAACATTTTGTAATTGGCAGCACACGCGCGCACAGCACACACACCAATGAATCCTTTTGTTTCAGGATATTTTGCTTTAAAGGGAATGTAACCATGAAGAGATGTTTTTGGATTTTGGAAGTTGCAAGAGTCTAGGTATCTAGACTAAGATACAGATAAATCATGAAAGCAATCATATGGAGTACAGACAGTTCAATAATGTATGAGCTGTGAGGATATTATGGAACATGGTAGGAAAATAAATTCTAAGCATAGAAAAAGGCAGCTAATGAGACATTCCCAAATGGGACAGACACTTTTGTTTTAACAAGGTGAAACAGGCACAGAAAAACCTAAAGAACATAAATGTTGTACAAAAATGGTTGTTGAAAACAGAAGTGAGTGGACTGTTACATGACACAGATTATCGTGCACAGCAAAGAAACAATTATGAAAGACATACAAAAACATATTAGTGCCACATATTTTTCATGAATAAGTTAATGCAGTGTGTAAGGCCTTTCCATTACCTCAGTGTTTTTTTAGCAAAGTTTGCAAATAAGCGGATCAGCCCTATTAGAGGAAACCACAAGTAAAATTGCATTGATGTTAATCATGAAACTATTTACAACTATACAAGCTATACAAAGCAGAGGTGAGGGAAAAGCAAAGTAAGTAATTGCTTAGGCCTATAGTCAAGACTGCATACATACTGTACATTATACTAATTAAAATATTTGAATTTTAGATCCTCCATGATAAAACACAGATTTATAAACTGGAGTAACATGAGCTAATTAAACATATCTTACCATAAGGTGCTCTAGCCCAACACTGTTCTACTTTAGTGACCAATGTATCTTGTAACCCAGTGACTTCAATATCCTCATGAGGCAGGTGAGGACATTTCCACATGTTTCCTATGGTGCATTAACTGTATTGTGACAAAAAAAAACACACAGAAAATACACATTTCTTATAGAAAATAAAAGGAAGGTGAGGTTAAAAGAAATATTAACAAGTGGCCCACTCAGAGGTCAAACCGTGCCACTCCTTTTCCCTGCAGGACTTTTCATTTCATTTTGACTTTTGTTCAAACTTTCTGTGTCTTTCTCTTCAAGCACCACTTCATAGCCTTCCATCCTTAACCACGTACATGCGCTCAACCGTTTTTTAAAAACTCACACATGCACTTTCCCCTCTCTTTCAGACTAACATCTTTAAAATCTATCATAATTACATTGCTGTAAAATAGACTCTTTTATAATTATATAGTCGTACTTCCATTAATTATTAGGTTATTTGCCATTAATATCATAGTTCAGCTGAATGACATTTTTTTTTATTTCAGGATGTTGAATCAGATTCAGAACTGCTTCTATCATCTACAGGCTGTTCTTCCTCCAATAATAAGGCTGGATCAGGGTTGACAGGTCAAGAGTTAGGCAGGGGTGGAGCTCTTCTCACTGGCCAGACTGGGCTTGGGTTCTGGTCTGTGGGGTTTGTGCTGAGGGCTGCCGCGAAGGTTGTCATCCATCTATAGTACAGTATGCCCAGTTTAGTTAGAGCACAGATGCACGAGCAGAAAATAATATGACAAATATTCAGTAAGAGACAATTTGTATACTTTAAGTACAGCAGAGATTGTACCTGCCAAATGCAACCATGAACCCATGCAAAGAAGATTAAAGGAAAGCAGAAGCACCTTTTCTATCAAGTTGGACTCTTTGTTAACAAGCTGAGTTAGTTTCTGGAGGTTGGCATCCACTGTTTCCTGAACAGGTGGGGGTGGACCTGGAGAGAGATGAAGAAAGGGGACAACCGCAGAAGAAGGAGATAGCAGAGAGTGTAAGGTGTTAGGTCAATTAAGTGCCCAAAAATAAATCAAAGAGCAAGCGTGCAGTGAAACAAAGATGTGAGAAGAAGGAAAGTGCTGATGATTTTAGTGGTTTTGTGTGCTTGCAAATGTAAAACTTCCCCCGCATCATTGCGTGTAAGCTAAAGCCCCAAGAGTGTGTGTACTTGTTTCAGCGATCTTACAAGGGTGGTCCGAGCTGAAGTAGACTGCGAGGATGTCGTCACAGAAGCGTGTGAGGTTATCCAGCTGTCTGAGGTGGCTCTGCAGAGGGCTGCTGGGGAGACTGGCTTTGTAAAGTGGAGCTACAAAACCAAACACAAAGGCGTCCAGGCTGGTCGGCCTACAAACACAAAACATGTATACAAAAATACATTTAGGCACACACAGACACAAGTGATATAGGGCTATGAGACATCAAAAAGCAGTATTACTCATGTTGCACTCTCACTGCAGAGCACTTTATGTCGATTTCTCCCAGAATGACGCATGCCCTCAGTCTAATGAACATCAACTGGACAACTTGACTGACAATGTGATTTTCCATATTGAGAAATCCCAATCTGTGTCTCAAAATTTCCATCCCAATTATTCAAGCTTTTTCTACTCTGTTTTCCAATAGCTTTGCACCTACATGGGATGTACACATCATTCATTACACCTTGTAATGAAAATTAAACATTAAAGAACTCACGAGTTGCCAAAGAAGTAGTTTGCTGTTCCCAGTCTGTAGGAGAGAAGATTCAGGCACTCTTTAGCATCACTGTAGATCTGAGGCAGACAGTGAGAAAGTTGTGACAAAGAGAACTTTGCAGTCACAACTACAGAGAGTGTAGAGAGTTGACATGTTGACAGAACATGTGACTGATGAATCGCACAGATCAATATTTACCTTTCCCTCCACCTCAGTGATTCTGTGTAGCGGCGCCTCTCCTTTTGTTAGAAGGATGCGGGAGAGGGCGATGTTGGCATGGCGACAAGGGACGAGAAAGTTAAGAGGGAACGGCGAGCGTGAAGCAAACCACGGCCGTGTCAAATTGCCGTAGTTTTCTGCATCCACCCAGAAAGTGTGCAACTGTGAGACACAAAGCGTCACTGTTAATATTAACAGTCCTCACAGATGAGTTCTTGTCAGGGAAGAAGCAGAAGAGAGATGGTGTTACCAGAGCTGGTCGTAGTTTCTCTTCAAGCAGAGCGATGTATGCCATGGTGTCTGCTCCTTGTCTGGCTGTCAGCTCATAGTCTGCATTAAACCTCTTAAAAAAAGACAAATCTCAAATGTTATATCAGATCTACTAATTCTGCTAAATGGGGTTGGGGACATCCATTTAATGACCACTCTGACCTGTTTCCTCAGGAAGTTGAGAATCTCTGTAGGTCCTTGAACTGCAGTGTCTCCACAAAGAAACTCTGGGACTGTCGCTGCAGGTTGAACGACAGGAAGAAGATATTACAATTCATGAGAAAAGTAAAATTGAAGAGCAGTACTTCAATTTACATTAATTCACTTCATTTTGGAACCGACTCAGATGCATAAAAAAACATGAAAATAATGAAAATAAATCTGTGTCAACTGTTTTCTGGCAAATTTTCCAAGATTGTTAGAGTATTACAGAAATTCTGGTTTATAGGAAGCAGCTGAAGCCCACCTGTTAGAGTTTTCCATGTCCAGTCTATGGGAGAAACTGTGACTTTTGCCCCAGAAAACTTGGCATAGGCCTGAAAGAAAACCCACACTTAAATCAGGACAGATGATAAAAAAGAGACAACAGTTAGTACATTTCTGATTTGATATTATGCTGGAACTACTGATCCAAATTCAAAAGTAATACAGCATACACCAGCATCGGGAACATTTTCACTGGCTCTAAAAGCTGATTTGGCACACAGGACCCCTATGATTACACAGCAGACCAGAAACAGCTTCATTTACAGGAAGAGGGAAAACAAGCAAAGCCGGAAAATAAAAAATGGACCAAAGTGAAGACGTATAGATGTAATTAAATAAATTGATGAATATTTTCATTATCAAATACTTTGTCAATTATTTTTTAAGATGAATCATTTAGGGTGAAAAATGTCAAATAATGGCAGGTCTAATTTTGTCCAACACTCAAAGGTGTTCAGTTTAAAGTTAGGGCTGGGCGATATGGCCAAAACTGTTATCATGATAAACATTTTATAAAATGTTCTATCAAGATAACAACCATGATAAAAGTTAACGGCTGATTTTTGCTCTTGGGTGAAGGTTGAAGAAACCAGATGGTTAACTGTGGTTTTAAAATATTCTGTGTCAAACACTTGCCAAACGGTGGACCATTTCAGTATGAGGTAGAACATTCAACACAATTATAATGGTAAAACTTTTTTCAACAAATATGCACGAGTAAAATTAAGTAAAATCTTTTATCAGTTCTTTTTCCTCAACAAAATAAATATCTTAACAGAAAAAATAAGTGCTGAGTCTTCGTGATTCAAATGAAATATGAATTAAATTGAGCATTTGTTATAGGCCTATTTATATTTTACAATTGCATAAAACAAAGAAAAGCTACAAATCGTCTCACAGGAGGAGCCAGAACCAGAGACTGTTTGGCATAAAAATAGGTGAAACAGTACATTGATTGTTACTGTCTACTGTGTAATCAATTAATCATAATGTCACACACTAAATGTCTGTTTTCAGTCGGTGAACACACCAGTGACAACGATGGATACAAGTCCATACATGTGGTCTACATGTCATATTCGCCTAAGTGTCACCTTGTGGCAAGAGTTATAACTGCATGGATTCACTCAGAGATAACGACATGACAACAGCCAGCAAACAACTCAATGTTAATTTTCTGACAAGGTTATTACTACCCGTTACTACCTCGGCCACCGTCGATAGATATCTAGAGACAGAGTGAAGAAAATACCCAAATAAATTCAAATCCGAGCCTCACCAAGCTGACCTTGAAGGACCGCATTTTTGTCAGCTATGAGAGTGATTTCTGACAACCAGCCATCCATGAAAGACAGAGCATGCAATGCACAGTTGTTACGATGCAGCTGGGCAGACATCAAATGCAACTGGAACTATTTTTTTTTCCTATCCTGCACATCGAGGTGAGCATGAGCAGCTAACACAAGCAAACTGCAGTAGGTAAGTTAGCATGTAAGCTAACCAGAGATACACAGAGAAGACGCAAAGAAAAGCCGGGAGAAGAAACCTTTCGACTTGAAAGTAGGGCTGGATGTTGTAGCCGTATTTGTTTTTACAAGCAGACATTAAACTTACCAAAACTATGAGCGACTCGCTGTGGACAGAAGGCAAACCCCAGTCTCCTCCCCAGCATCTCAGCTCCATGGCAGCCGCCATGTTTTGACTAGTGGCAGGAGCTGCTGACGTCACGAGGTACCTGTCATATCAGAGGCTGCAGAGGCGGAAACATCTGGGGAAGGAATAACCAGATGAGAAATGTTCAAATGTTTTCTGTCAAGCGTATTTCACCTAGGATTATATATTAACATTTAACATGTTCAGTAATGTCTGCTGAGAAAGATTGGGTGATTTGACCAAAAGCTCCAAAAGATTCAGAATTATTCAGGAATGGTTTATTTAGAAAATCTCCAGTATGCTGAGATACAGAATAGGAATTGATCCTATAACAATGATTCATTAATATAGTCAAGTCAGTATTATTGATGTGGCCCAGAATCACAAAGGCCTTTACAATATGTACAACATACAACATACTTTATCCTTAGACCCTCCATTTTGATAAGGAAAACCAAATATACCATATATATACTTTAAATTGAGCATAAAGCAGTCTCTTGTCAAGTATTTGGGGTAGTAGTAAGACTTATTCTGGCACTATGTGTTATCTATATTTTACTTAGCAGTTAGGTCCTGATTGGTCTCTTAATTGTTCCTTACCTCCTTCCTTGGTTACTATTGTAAAATGTCAACAAAACAAATGCTTAGAGAATCATATTTTAACTTCAAGAATAACAATTATATTCTTTCATCTTGTTTTTGAAAAAGCGGTAACTAATTTTTTGTGACATTTCACTTAATTTCAGCTACAATAGCACAATGTCTGTCCCTCTGCTGATAGTCAGTCTGCCAGGTGTTTGGTCAGAGACCAGACAGCCAGACACAGACGGATGCAAGGTGATAATGCACTGAGGGATGGTAAATGTCTCTCTTTGGCCCGGACCAGCAGCTGAGATGTTGAAATGTACTTGAGGTTTGTAGAGAAAGCTTTAAGACGAGTACCAGACGTCTATCATGAAAGGTTTCCAGGGTCCCAAGTCCAGCTCTCTTTGTCCTTCCTTTCCCACATTCTCCAACAGATGGAACTAAGAAAAGGTTTGCAGAGGCATGTAGAACAAGTTAAATTAAATTAAAAACATCTGGCAAACAGTAACAAAATTCAGCTGACTTACGGGAGATGAGCTAGGAGATAAAATCCACATTTATGACAGATTCAAAGTCAAAGTTTTTCTCCCTTAAGACAATGGATTCCAGACATTTTTTTAGATTTGGCTGATTGTGTACAGGCTGATGTAGCATCCTTTGTATGGCATTATATTCCAAATCCCCAGACTAAAGGACTAAAAGCTTTATCTTGACTAAATAAAACAGGGTAATAAATTCATGAAAAATAAACCTCACATTTAGCTCATACAAATAATACACCACTCTGACAACCCTTTGTAGAATAAAATACTATGTATAGTGCCCTATGTTTTTTTTTAAATGTTGAAGATGTTTCTTTGTTACACAGTTTCTAGCATGTAGTAGTACTACTTCAGGTTTTACACACAGGGACAATATACAAGGTATCATTAGATCAAACTATCAGTAGCAAGTGGACACTCCCACAAACCATTAAAATAGCCCCTACACTGTGCCACATTTACAACAGTAGAGTACAAGGACACTCCCCTCTGCTTTAAAAGCTGTGCCTGTGGCCACAAAACCATCTCACCTCTGCTGAGATTTTGCCTCAACATCTGGATTTGTCTTTTGTTCTGTTGGATCATTAAAATAGGCAATTCATCTGTGATCCTCTTATTGAGCCACAAGAGGAAACTCAGTTCTTTCTTCAGGAGCGCAGCTTTGTGTCCCATACTGAAGCACTGATGATGGGTGTGTGGGCCAGAGCAGCGGCTCTGTCTCTAGTGCTGCAACAGCTGGTGCTTACTGTCACAGCTGAAGGCATTGGTAAGTACTTTTCACCATCCATGCCCTTTCGGAAAACATCACGAGCACATGTTAAAAACCTCTTTAACATCACTATCAAAGAAGTCTGTTTCACTGTCTTTTTCATTGAAGTATTCCTAACAAACTGTTGTCTGGTCTTGCAACTTCCAGTCTGCAGCAAGCTGCAAATAACAAGGGTAATTCTGTTGATTTGGATGGCATGAAGCTGTTTTTTTGTGGCTTTTAGAATATGACATCTGGGATCTAGTAACAGTCTGACCTAAATAATGTCAGTCTTAGATGGTAAACCATCACAAACTGCCATCTGAGAAAGTGCATGTGCAAAACTTAAATTTTCCTGGAATCTCCACACAAATGTTTCCCTACAGTTTCCTGTCACTTTGTATTATTCTTGAATTCTGCTCATGTGCTGTGTGCAAGTGTTTTTGCATATGTGTGTGTGTGTGCATGTGGGTGTGAGGCAGTAGATTTGTTCCAGTGGAAAGAGTTTACTGTGGCTCCTTCCTGCGACTCCAGTCTACCACTCTATAAAACACAGCACGATACAAACATGAACGTGCACTCACACACATACAGATGCACTGTCACACATAATAAAGTCCTATACTGACTCAGCATTAGCAATCCACAGTACACTGCGAGCTATAGCCATCAAGACATAAACTCAGAAAACTCTCCATTAATACTGACAAAAAAGAAAGTCAGCACCACTTATAGTGTACCAGATGGAGTTCTTTCAGTTGGTAAATACGTCCTAAGCTCCTTGTACACTATTGACTGACTACTATACTGTATGTTTCCCTTACTGTCTTTGTTAATTTGCCTTTTCTCTGGATTGTTTTGTCACAATTATGGTACAATGCATCTACAGCACTGTAATGCAAGTTTTTAACAGTGCTCTCCTGTGTTAGTCTATGACCTGCTGGATTCTCCAGACTGCCTGCCAGACTTGCTCCAAGGAAGCCTGAAGAACAAAGGGCGAGATGAGGCATTCCTCCTCTCTTCCTTCACGCTCCGCAACAAGGCCCCCACCTCTCTCTACAGTGTCATCAACCCCAAAGACAACACCAAGTACCTGGAGCTCAGCGTGCAGGCCAAACTGAGCAAGGGTGAATTATTATACTGACACACGTGACAGTGTCTGTGACAACTACGTATACAGACTGCATTATCTGTTTTCACTTGTGTTCTCTTGCTGCCTTTATCTGTCTCTCCGCCCCGCTGTCTGTTTCCTCTCCTCTGGCTTCTCTCTCCATCTCTAGTGACCCTTCGTTACCAGAAGGCTGACAGCAGATTTGGCACAACCAGTTTCAATCACGCCTCCCTGGCAGATGGCCGAGATCACCACGTTATGCTACATGCCAGCGGCCTACAGCGCGGCCCACCTCGTCTCAACATCTATATAGACTGCAGACTGGCACACACTTTGGACGATCTGCCGGCTGCGTTTGGGTCACTGCCACCTGGTCCCAACAAGGTGGCACTTAGGACCCTGCAGGCAAATGGACAGGTGAATAAGAAGTTTACAATTGAGATTCAAGAGATAAGCATAAATATAAATACTGTTGTAGCAGCGCAATAACTTGATAGACGAATGCTACATGTATTTCATTCTGATTGCTTAATTTATTTCTTCTGTCCTCTATTCCTTTGTTAGGATGAACTGACAGACTTGAAGCTGGTGATAGAGGACACCATAGACAACGTGGCCACTCTGCAGGACTGTAGCGTGGATCAGGTTGAATCTCTGCAGCTGCTGGGTGAGAACAGATTGCAACCGACTGTCTGACATAACCTGACAAACACGCGGTCTTTTTACCTTAAACCTGGTAGATGTGTTGTGGATTTGATTCTCTAATTCTGATTTGTGAAATTCCCTCAGGTATCCAGGGAGGCCGGACGTTACACGACCAGGCCACCATGCTGGAGCTGAGGATCATGTTATCTGAGATGAAGGAGCTGCTCAACCAGCAGGTAAAGAAATGGGAAATTGAAATTGTTCAATATGTTCTGGAAAATCAATAAAAGAGAACCACATTATTTCAACAGTTATAATAAACTGCTGATAATATTGCTTTTTGGTTGCTAATTAAAACAGGATGATGTTGAGATTGAATTAAATGGATAAAATGGAAGAAGAAGTTCTGTGGAGCCGCTTGTGTAGCAGAAAATGTGGAGAGGTCCCCGGTTGTTTATAAGAGTTACCTACTTTTAAAAGTGGAAGAATGTGGGCTGATTGACAACCATCCTTTTTCCTCAGGATAAGATTGACTGTGAGGATCTGCTGATATTTTGGAGCTCTCTCGTTTCAAGAGTAAAAGCGAGCAGGAGATAGAATTGGATGACTTCAGATGATCATTTAAAGCGAAGGATTTGTTAGGAGATAGGGCATCAAACAGGGAGCCTGAGGCAATCAAATGCTCGTTATATAGTTCAGCAACTCAGACTTGTCAGACACACTGAGATAATCTTTTATATAAGGAGACAGATCACCGAAGCTCACCTTAGCAGACACACATTTTATAGCTTTTCAAAAATTCTGATTTTCCCTGTATTGATATAAGCTGTGAAGTGATAACACAATTACCCAAGCACGACAGTTCATCCTGACTAACAGCTCTACACTCTGTTTCTTTCTGGTTAAGATTAAGGAGACAAATTTTCTGAGGAATACCATTTCAGAGTGTCTTGTCTGTGGTAAGCAGTATAAAACTATGATCAGACTTTTAATTTATGCCATATTTAGACATGTCTGAAAAAAGTGACATTTCATCAAGGTGTGTTCGTATCTGTCTATGTGTGCCCACAGATCTCAGGGGCAATCCAACCAACACAGGTCCAGCTCCTAGCCCAGTTGTCATGCAGCCTCAGCATCAGACTCAGTGCCCACCTGGGACCTGTTTCAGACAGAACATGTGCATCCGTGCGGAGTCAGGGAGTTTCCAGTGTGCCCCCTGTCCAGAGGGCTATACAGGAGACGGGGTACACTGCGATGACGTGGATGAGGTATGGATTGTATGCTTCTTAGTGTGCATGTGTAATCTCTGCAACCAGTAGGTGAAAGTAGCACTAGTTTGCATTTGACCATGTTCTGTCTTATATGTGTGCTTTAGTGCCAGTTTAGCCCGTGTTTCCCTGGTGTCAAGTGTGTGAACACTGCTCCTGGTTTTCGATGTGGAAAATGCCCTCTGGGATACACCGGACCACAGTTAAATGGAGTGGGTGTGTCCTATGCTAAGTCACACAAACAGGTACAAAAACAATGTAATCCACTGTATATAAAATATTCATTCTGTTTGATTTATATGTGCCTGTTGATAGAATATGAATCTTTTTCTTTATATACTGTCTTTCATTTGCTCTTCCCAGGTGTGTGATGATATAAACGAGTGTCTGGGTCCGCCTGAGAATGGAGGTTGCACTGCCAACTCGCACTGCTTCAACACTATAGTAAGACCACTGGAGCTGGTGTATGGTTATTATCATACTCTCTTATAGCAGAAGGCCCTGGTTTGTGACTCTGTACTGTCCTTACCAGGGCTCCTTCCGCTGCGGAGAGTGTAAAACTGGCTTCACAGGTGACCAGGTGAGAGGCTGCCATGGTACCAGGCTTTGCCCCAATGGTCAGCCCAACCCCTGTGACATCAATGCCGAGTGTATTGTTGAGAGAGATGGCAGCATTAGCTGTGTGGTAAGAATTTAGAAAATAGTGACGTCATATTCAGCTTTATGCATACTCCTGGATCATGAATGTGCTGTTCTACATAATTTACATAAAATGTCACGCCATGCCTTTTCCCTCTTCTGTGTGTTTTAGTGTGGCGTTGGTTGGGCAGGTAATGGTTATGTATGTGGAAAGGACACAGATATTGACGCATATCCTGACAATAAGCTCCAGTGCATTGACAACAACTGTAATCAGGTACTCGTGTCTATACTCCCTACATTCTCTTGCATTTAATCCATGCTAGTATTAAAAATAATGCTGTATGTATTTTGCTGTGTTGTGTCCAGGACAACTGTGTGTTTGTGCCAAATTCTGGCCAAGAGGATGCAGACAGGGACGGGTTGGGTGACTCCTGTGATGACGACGCAGACAGTGATGGCATCATTAACATAGATGTAAGTAACGAAGCTCCACAGAATCAGCATACAGGAGATACTCTCTCACTGAGGCCATGCACTATACAGTGAATCTTATTTGCCTGCCCCAGGACAACTGCTGGCTCGTTCCTAATGTAGACCAAAGGAACAGCGATAAGGACGTCCATGGTGATGCCTG